TGTGCGGGCACGTGAAGCAGCTGCCCAGGGAAGTGCTGGAGTCACCATCCCTGGAGGTGTTCAAGGATTCTGTCCCTGCTCATGGGAAGGATATGGAACTAGATGATCTTAAATGTCCCACAGAACAATGGACAGTGATGTAGCAGAGAGGAATATTTGCAATGAGCCTGTCCAAGGCAGCTGAGATGAATGTCACTAGGAGAGTCACAGTGACATTCCTGGAGTCACACACAGACATTACAGAGCTCCATCACGAGCCCACATGTAAGCTGCTTTTCTGCACTCTTCATACACAAATGAGAGATCAGAGGCAGGAGTCCTTTGCCTGCACATGCAAAGGACATGGACTGCTACCACTTCCAGATGCTGGGAGGCACCTGAGCCTGGTGATGTAACACTGTTTTGGCTGTCTGTGGAGTGCCAAACAACCTCTACTGGTTGGGGTGAGAGGTCAGTCCTGGAAAGGGTGATGGTTACTGGCTGGACTGTGGTAAAGGCCCTGAGGTAGCTTCCCGAGAGTGTCCAGTGAACAGAGGCACCAAACACAACCTGCTCTGTTGGTCCTTCATGTCTTTTGCAGAAGCCTGGCTGTGCCCCCAGCCTGCACGTCACATATAGTAGTTCACTGGTGTTTTGCTCTCTGGGGCACCTGCCAGTCCAGCCATACCAGCCCCTCCCTGAATACTGCCACATTTCTTCCCTCTCGCAGCTGAGCACAACAGAGCAGCCCTACTGGGACTGGTCGCACAGCAGGGAATTTAGGCCAGTAAGAATGTTTATCCAGCTGACATACTGACGAGATCTCCACCTGAGGCAACCTGCAGCCCCAGGTGCCAGACTTGCTCTCCAGGACAGCATGAGAGAATTGGCCTAGGGGATCCACAGGGAGGTGCAAAAAAAAAGAGCCCCAGTAAAATGGCAGCATGTCACAGGCTGCCACCCACAGCAACAGGTTTGCTTTTCCATGTGTCTCCTGCATGCACACATACCCTGCTCTTCTCATGGGACAGCCACCTCCCAGCTGAGCCTTTACCCAAGAAAAGTTCATCTATGCTGCTCTGGCCAGCAATTCATGCACACAAGCCCTGGGCTCCACACAACTCCCAAGCTGGCAGTGCTGCTCTGCAGAGCAAGGGGGCTCTGCTGCCCAGGTCTGTGCTGTTCAAACTGGGAGCAAGGCCCATCTCAGGTGTGCTACTGCCCACTCCACCTCAGCACACAGATGCTGCCCATGAAGAATCAGGAAAAGGACCACAGAAACACGTTTGTTCAGGTTACTGTACCTTGTTTAAACAGAAGGACACAACAACTCCTTCTTTACACAAAGTCTCTGGGTCATATATAACAGGCTGAAACATGATAAAGAATGAGATGGTAAATATGGCGGTTTTATTTGGTTTTATATTGGTTTTGGTTTTGGTTTTTTTGTGGACAGCATTAATGCAATAAAGAAAAGCAAGGAAACCAGGAAAAATCTCAAAATCAAAGACATCAAACCAAACAATGTACACACAGACAGGCTGGGCCTGTAATGAGTTAGATCATGAGTGATATGCAGAAAAAGAAGGGCAGTTCATTGGTGCTTCTGAAAAGCACTCAGTCAGTAGTTTCCTTAGGCCGTCCTTGAGCTCCTTGTTCCTCAGGCTGTAGATGATGGGGTTCACTGTTGGCGGCAACACTGAGTACAGAACTGCCAGCACCAGGGCCAGGGATAGGGATGAGATAGAGGGGGGCTTCA